TACCTGGGGCCCTGGTGGCACAGTGGTTAAGCGTTTGACCTTTTGGTCGGCAGTTCTGATCCACCAGCCGCTCCTTGGAAACCCTATGGGGCAGTTCTGCTCTGTGCTAGAGGGTCGCTATGAGTTGGAATCAACTTGATGGCAATGAGTTTTTTGGTTTTCTATATATATATATATAGGATTACTATTAGTCAGAATTGACTTGACAGCAGCGTGTTTGGTTTTATACACACACACACACACATACACATACACACACACACATATTTTTTTTAAATGGGAAAGATAGTCATGTTTATATGATGAAGAGAAGGGACTAATGGGGAGGTTAAAGGGAAAGGAGGGAGCAAAGTCCTGGAGGAATCAGGAGGAGAGGGAATCGAGAGTAGAAGAGTAGTACTGGATTGGAGATACACTTCTGTGAGATATTGCGGGCTAAATGGAGGTGGTGTTGTATTTGAAATCTTGTTTTTAAATGCTATTGTAGTTAGTATGTTAATTATTCACCACATACTTACTGGACATATATCTCCTGTGGAGCAGCCTGATATCTTTTTTCCTATGTTTATCTTTCAGTTGAGGATCCTCTTTGTAAATTCCACTCCCCAAACTTCCCAAGGATCTCAGAGGTGGAAATGAGAGGTTCCGAGGATGCAGCAGCTGGAACAGTATTACAGCGGCTGATCCAGGAACAACTGCGGTATGGCACCCCGACCGAGAACATGAACTTGCTGGCCATTCAGCACCAGGCCACAGGGAGTGCAGGACCAGCCTACCCTACAAACAACTTTTCTTCCACGGAAAACCTCACTCAAGAAGACCCACAAATGGTCTACCAGTCGGCACGCCAGGAACCGCAGGGTCAGGAACACCAGGTGGACAATACGGTGATGGAGAAACAGGTCCGGTCCACGCAGCCTCAGCAGAACAATGAGGAACTGCCCACTTACGAGGAAGCTAAAGCCCAGTCACAGTTCTTTAGGGGGCAGCAGCAGCAACAACAGCAAGGGGCTGTGGGCCATGGCTACTACATGGCGGGGGGCACCAGTCAGAAGTCTCGGACTGAAGGGAGGCCCACCGTGAACCGTGCCAATAGCGGACAGGCGCATAAAGATGAGGCCCTGAAAGAACTCAAGCAGGGCCATGTCCGCTCTCTCAGTGAGAGAATCATGCAGCTGTCTCTGGAGAGGAATGGTGCTAAGCAACACCTCCCTGGCTCAGGGAATGGAAAGGGGTTCAAGGCAGGAGGGGGACCCTCCCCAGCCCCACCTGCAGGTAAGGTGCTGGACCCTCGAGGTCCTCCACCCGAGTACCCCTTCAAGACCAAGCAAATGATGTCCCCAGTCAGCAAGACCCAGGAGCATGGACTTTTCTATAGTGACCAGCACCCTGGGATGCTCCATGAGATGGTCAAGCCTTACCCTCCTCCTCAGCCTGCAAGAACAGAAGTGGCTGTTCTGAGGTACCAGCCACCTCCAGAGTATGGGGTAACGAGGTAATTATCAAGCCTATAGATTTAACTTGGTTTTTCAAAATCCAGCAATCATGTTTTTAGTGCTGACTTTTAAGGCATTTTAGGTTTTTGTCATCAGTTTTTTCTTGATGCATAATATTTAATAAACCCCTTTTTGGCCAAAATCTATAGAGTGAAACAGAACAGAGGGCAATTGGGATTTTCTCCAAATGTAACGGAGGGCAGTTGGGGATTTATAACTTTAGGGGAGGAGCCCCAGCTGTTGTCTGTCCTTGGGAGCACTGCCTAGTACTCTGGCAAAGTAGTAATTTTCCTGGCTGGCTTCGTGGAGAGCGTCCAAACTCCTGGAACATATTATTACCAAGGGGTTTTATAGAGTCTTTCTTCATTGTAGATTTTAAAGGAAAATGTTGTCTGAATGCTAGAACCAAGGAGTCAAAAGGGACTGTAGAAATCACACAGTCCCACCCCTCATTCAACAGAGGAGAAACTAAGGCCTGGAGAGATTAATTAAACGCTCCACTGTACACAACTTTGAGGCAGCAGGGGGCTTGACCCGAGGAACCTGACTTTCAAATTATTGTCCTCTTCATTCCATTGCCCTGATTCCTCTTACAGCCTTCCAGCGTATTCTCTGATAGATTGACTGATTCAACAACACTTACTGAGTGTATACTCTGTGCGGCCCTGTACCGAGGATTCAGAGATAAAGACGTGGTCCCTGCTCTCAAGCAGCTTACAGCATTATCTCATGGGAAACCAGTGTCTGAACAGGTCATGGCAGTACAGTGTGCTTACAGTGTTTTAGGGTAGAGGTTGTGCTGACAATGCTAGGGGAACACAGAGGATAGCATGATTCACGCCTGGAGGAAGTTGGGAAGAGCTTCACAGAGGAGGTGACGTCCGAGTTAGGCCTTGAAGGGCAGGTGAGAGATATGGGGTAGAAGTGAAGAAGTAGGATGTACCATGCAGAGGGAATGCCATTTTGGCAGACAGAAGCCTCCGGAATGAATGAACTGCAGCCATGTGGTTGGAGTGGGACAGGATATGGCGACAAGTGGCGGAAGATGTGTTTGCAAAGGGAAGTTGAGACCAGATGGAAGATGAGTGTCGTGCTGAGGAGGTTAGAATGTATCCTGTAACCAAAGGGGAGAGCAGTGTTTTTAAGTTGGGACTGATATGTGGGTGCTTACTAGGGTGACTTCTGTGCAGTACAGGATGAATTAGTGGAAAGGGAGCTGGAGGACAAGACAGTCTGTGGTCTAACCTTGAGGCAGTGGGAAGAGAGGGGAGTATTGTATGTTGACAGCGGTGAAGAAATATAACTGACAGGAGTCACTGATTAGATAGCAAACTTGAAGAACAGGGCAGCTAGGAATAAGACAATTGGAAATCAGGCTGCCAAGAGAGACCTGAGTCTGAAGATACTGATTTGGGAGTCAGCACTGTTCAGATGCTGGTGAGCTTGTACAGGGAGAGCATGGAGCATGAAAAGAGAAAACAAGTAGCCACTACATATCACTGGGTATGTCTTCATCTCATAGAGGGCTTTGTCTGTTTCTAAATTGAATAACCTGGGGTTTTCCCATATGACCCCAGGGGCTGTGTGCAAGGCATACCTTGACTGAACATCTTCAGAAAAGAGAGTGACTGCAGCTTGGCAGAAAGAGAACTGGCTGATCTGCTGCCACTTACTTCCCAGCTGCTGACACATCTCCCCACAGTTGGTTGAGAAGGCCAGCTTTGAAGCACTATAACCACATTTTAGACCTCTGACAGGTAGCAGAACTCATTCTTTTGAAAGTGGTTATAATCTGACCCCACTGGAGAATCCAAGTTAGAGCCCAGGAGGTGTTTCTTCTTCCCTATTTACAGTTTCTTAAAGGAGAAATTTAAACTCAAACCCAGGTTTGAAGAGTAAAAATTTTAAAAAATATTCAGATCTCTGGTATTTGCACTGCACTGATTTACCGCCGTTGTTTCAAATAATTCATGATGTTTATCCCAGAGTCATACCACATTTTGGTATGTGATATTTTACATATTTTTCCTGAACGTTTAACTCAGCCTCTAGAGTTTAGTAAAGGGTGAAATATCCCCAAATGAAGTCTCTTTCCTTGGCTTTACTATTTGGAAAAAGACAATGCATAAAGTGGGCCCTTTTGCTTTTTGCCATTTGGCAGTAGGTGTGATATAAGGTGGGACAACCAGTCCGGAAAGGAAGGAAGCACTTCTTGGAGGTCTCCCCAGTTATTTGTGGAAAGTATCATTTGTCTCTAGGTTATGACGTTGAAAAGATGAAGAAGAAATGTTTGAGGGGTTTTAGCTGATTGCCAGGCTTGGCAGCTGGGTTGACATGACACGTCGGATGCTCCAGAAGATGTAACAGACAGGCCATTGAGGCTGGCTCCAGAGCTACAAGGTCCCTTTGTGAGGCTGGCCATGGCTAGCCAGCATGGCTCCAGTGGTGCAGTCTTTGGCTGACTGGGTAAACAGAGTTGTATCCACACCAGCACTGCTTCGGACACACGTAACATAGCCTGAACTCCAAAGGTTGCATCTGAAACTCAGTGGTGTGTGATGTTCAAGTTGTCTTCGCCCAGGAGATAAGCAGGGCTCCCTTTAATTTCACTGATGTATTCTTGTGTGCTTAAATAGGGTTATCTATTTGTTTGTCATTAATTGTAATGGCTTAAGAATAGCTGCAGTCTGTTGGTAAATGGGTTCCCTGGATGGTACAAAAAATTAATGAGCCCAGCTAATGGAAAGATTGGAGGTTCAGCCCACCCAGAGGTGTCTTGGAAGAAAAGCCTGGTGACCTGCTTCCAAAGCATCAACTATTGAAAACCCTACAGAGCACAGTTCTACTCTGACACGCGTAGGATAGCCACGAGTCAGAATCGACTTGACGGCAACTGGTTTTGGTTGGGTAAATACACAGCACAGACTCCTGCACTAGGAGAGGGCCCTAAAGGAGATCATTTCGTCTATCTGTCTACCTAGTGCTGTCAGAATTGGCCTAATATTTGGTAGATATTTAATGGTTTGGTAAAGCCCATTAGATTGTTGAACCTTCACTGCTTTTTACTTGGAGGCAGAAAGGTCCTAAGGGTCAAGCAGGACAGACGTGAGAGCTTCTGATGAGAACAATAGAACCTGGATTTCGTGCCTTCACTTCTGACTCACTGTAGCTTGTAAATTGTCTCACCAGTTCTGGTAAGCGAAAGATATGGAGATAGTTGGTGGATGATTGTAGAACATGTTAGGCTTCTCTCATAGGAGACCCCATGGAGAGGCCACTAGTCAAGGCCAGTTAGTTGACTTGCACCATCTTGGCTCTTTTTTTTTCTTTTAACTCAACTGTTTTTTAATTAAATTCTGGTAAATATATGTAAAACAAAACATTTGCCATTTCAACATTTTTTACATGTACGGTTCAGTGACATTAATAATTCATCATGTTGTGCAACCATCACTACTCTCCGTTTCCAGATTTTTCCATCACCCTTAATGGAAACTCAGTGCCCTCCTAATTCAGCTGGTTTTATTTCACTTCTTGATATGCACACATTCTGCCAACACTCTCTACCTCTGACTTAGTGATGAGTTAGGAAGGACCGAAAGGAAAAGGACCCGTGAGTAGCCGTATCTTTCCCTTTCTTGGCCTTTTGTAATCAGACTTTCTCCCTTCGGCCATCAGACTGTTGCCTAAATTAGTTGCAGTCTAAGTCTTAAATTATGAGCCAGATGATGCAACTTTGCCATAATGCAGTTGTACAATTTCAGGTACAAATGCTGTGTTGGAAATACAGGCGCAGGAGTAGATATTAGTGATAATGATCTGAAAGGATTGGTACTTGGGCAGCCCAACCCCTGTATGCCTCACTGGTCTGGATAAGAACCATGACACCCACTAGCTCTGTGAAAGAGAAGGTCTCATGACTCTGTGTGGCAACACAGCGTGGGGGGGTGGGGGGGACAGGACATACACTGTGACCCCTGTCATTGCCATTATACCTGTTGGAACTGCTGACAGAACTACTGTCCTGTTCCAGGTTTGAACCTAGAAGGGGCAGGCCTAGCTCCTGTTGGCCCTAGGGCTGCTGGGACCACACCTACCACTTGTCTCACCTGTTAGAGGGGTGGAGTGGGAGGGCCCTGAGAGAGGAGTTTTGTAATCCTTTCCTCTCCTCAGGCTAGGAAACCTTGCCTTCCTCCCCACCCAGTATGTGGAGAGTGGGTGATGGTTTTAGAGTCCATTCCTTGTCAGTCCATGTAAAGACCCACTCAATTACAGAAATTATCGCCTTCCATGCTGGAGATTTGGGTTTGATTCCTGGCCAGTGCACCTCATGCACAGGGGATGGTGTAGGACCTGGCAGTGTTTTGTTCCATTTTGCATGGGGTCACCATGAGTAGGGGGCCAACTCCATGACAGCTAACAAACACAACAGTTACAGAAATCAGAGGCTGTATACCTGTGGAACTAGAAAATAAGTCTTTGATCAGACTAAAACTTGGGGATATAGAAATGAATAAACGACAGTCCCTGCCCTCAAGGAAGACAAGCAATTGGAGTATAGTGTGAGAAGTGTTTTCTTTCTTTCATCAGATACTCAAGGCCCACCATGGGCTTGGCACAGAAATACAGCATGGCAAAGTGGGAAAGACACATGTTTAGAAGTCTTGACATTGAACTATGATGAGTGTTGAAGTCATGTGAGTATAGGGGGCATGGGGACGTAAAGCAGGACCTAGCCTAGGGTTCAGGAGGCGTCTCAGAGTCCACAGCATGTAGCTGGAAACCAGCAGGACACTAGGTATTAGCTAGGAGGGGTGGAGAGGGATGGAATAGGGTGTCGGGAGGAGTGTAGAGGTTGTGGAGGTGGTAGGGATGGAAACGGATGAGCTCAAGAGGCCAGCAGGGTCTAGATCCACAGCACCTTAGGAGCCTCATGAAGACTTTGGCCTTTACCTTAAGGGCACTGGGAACCACCGAGGCTGTTAAGCAGGACACAGAC